GACAATTCTCCGCGACAGGCGTAGCAGAAACCGAATGAACGTGGATTTATGCTGCCGCTGACCGGATAAAAATGGAATCGCTCGTTTCTGAGGGAAATGTACCGAAAAAAATGTAGAATTCTTCTGCGTTCTTAATATTTTCAATCTGTTCTAGTCAGACGCTTCGATTTCGTCCCAAATATCGTTTTTCCGATGAATAATACATTTTGCAACGATCTAGGAATGTTCAGAAGTGATATGACTTACAAAAAAATGATTTTTTTCTGGGTCAGATGCATCAATTTCGTGCTAAATATAATTTTTTCAATAAGTAATACATTTTGCAACGATTTGAGAATGTTCAGAAATGAAATAATTTACAAAAAAATGATTTCCCCTCGATAAGATGCATCGATTTCGTCCCAAATATTTTGCAACGATCTAAGAATGTTCGAAAGCAATATAACTTACAAAAAAATGATTTCCCCTCAATCAGATGCATCGATTGTTGATTTGGTTTTAATAATATGTTGTGAGTGATGGCGTGACTGTCGTGTGTTTGTTTTGAATTTGTGTGAACGTTCAAGGATAGAGGTGATCTATGGCTGATACTCGAATCGACTCGAGATTGGGGAAACAGTCAGTGTCCTAGAGAGAAGCAGCGAGTAAACAGTAGAACCGCGTTGTTAATGATAACTCGGTCACATGCATCAATTTCGTGCCAAGTATAATTTTTTCAATAAGTAATACATTTTGCAACGATTTGAAAATGTTCAGAAATGGAATAATTTACAAAAAAATGATTTCCCTTCGATAAGATGCATCGATTTCGTCCCAAATATTTTGCAACGATCTAAGAATGTTCAAAAGTGAAGTAACTTACAAAAAAATGATTTTTCCTCGATCGCATGCATCAATTTCGTCCCAAATATAATTTTTTCAATAAGTAATACATTTTGCAACGATTTGAGAATGTTCAGAAATGGAATAATTTACAAAAAAATGATTTCCCCTCGATAAGATGCATCGATTTCGTCCCAAATATTTTGCAACGATCTAAGAATGTTCGAAAGCAATATAACTTACAAAAAAATGATTTCCCCTCAATCAGATGCATCGATTGTTGATTTGGTTTTAATAATATGTTGTGAGTGATGGCGTGACTGTCGTGTGTTTGTTTTGAATTTGTGTGAACGTTCAAGGATAGAGGTGATCTATGGCTGATACTCGAATCGACTCGAGATTGGGGAAACAGTCAGTGTCCTAGAGAGAAGCAGCGAGTAAACAGTAGAACCGCGTTGTTAATGATAACAAAGACTGCGAGAGCATATAAAAGAGAAGGAATAAGAGAGTCTTTATCGTTATTGTGCAATTATTATTATAAAATATATTCGTATTAAACTTTCTACCACGTGTGATTCACCCACATCGATTTCGTCCCGAAGATCATTTCTCCGATAAATAACACCACACTTAGCAACGATCTAAGAGAACGTTCGCAAGTGACATAACTGTTAAAAAGAGAAATGATTTCCTCTCGGAGAGAGAGAGAAAAGAGAGTGAACTGCACTCGACAGTGTTTGAGCCACTTTAAACCGGCACGTAGGCGTGAAAGGAAATCGCGTTGCATGAAGCCACTTATTGAAGCATCGACTTCCGTCCGCGGTTCCCTTCTCTATCGAAATCGAATCGATCCCGAAGCACCCGCGCCGCGAGTGTAGAACAAAAGAGTGCATCGAGCACGCCGCGAATGAAGCACTGCGCCGCTCGCGCCGTAAAATCTTATCGGGCCACGCGGATGCTCTTGCTTCTGTATCTCGTGTCGCACGTATCGGCAGTTCTCGAACGAGAGAAAAAAATGGGACCAGCGCCATTCTGTCCGCCACCTCGATATGCGACGTCGTAAGAAAAACGGGGCCAAAGGAGGGCTGCTTCCGGTGACCATAAACCAGGGAAGATAGTGGATAGAGCGTGATTGGAATGACTATTGCCTTCTTCTAGTTGTCGTCCTAAGGAAACTGAGAGGAAACGTTCGATTTTTATGCAACGTCAAATGTTTCACGGAATATCAGAATGTAGAATTTTAATACGATTTGATAAATCACAGAACGTGACGTATCCAGATGTGTTTTATTTCTCTCGTAGACGTACGTGTGTACTTGTGGAAACGTATGTGCATATCTTTATAGGGGATATCAATGTTCCCTTTGAAAGTTAAATCGAGATCTCCGCTCAACCTCCACCGGTATTAAAATAACCTATATACATAGACTGTCTGCGCGTTTTCTATGCTTTATTATACCGCTGTCTGTTTCACGTTGAATAACGATAAGAGAAGTGAAATATTCATAGGTTCGAATAAATGGTCCCGCGATGCGTGTTAATATTCATGTTATAGGGATATCCGCCTATTATCATTCGCATTCTTTACCGGCGAACAGGTGTCGCATGACTGCTCGAACAAGAAGCGAAGTGCACTTGGCCCCATTTAGGTCAGTTCTTACGTATCGACCGGATGCGAAATATGGTTCACGCCACGAGCCGTTGCATTACTGCAAATTTAGCGAACTTTAAAGAGCCGTGATCGATTTTCCCCGGGGGAAAATTGGTGTCAAAACGATTATAATTAAAAAAAAAAAGGAGGGAAGAAAGGAAGAAACGTTCTTCGCGTTATGTTCAATGAAAGCAAAACTAGAATGCGTGGAATTGCAAGCTACACTTATTCTCCGGTGAAATACAAAGACGAGGAGTAAAGAGAAGAAATAACACGGTAGAATTGGACACTACTTAAACGAGCGAATTTAATTTAATTCCTTTCAGTGAAGCCGGGTCGGCGATCTTTTTACAAGAGAGTCCTTTCTGTGCACTGATACGTCGCAACCTGAATTTCTAGTCGCGACGACGGTATTGGATTTGATTGAGGTCCCAGCCTTTGATGTTCGCGGATCCTTTCCTTGATTACGAGCCGCGCGTGTGTCTGTACGATCCTCCGTGTGTTCTTCACCGATCGAACATTGTCGTAACGCAATACCGCGACAGGGGAGATTGCTTCGTTCGATGGTTGCATTTTCCGCCATGATAATCCGTTGAGAAATATTAATCCTCGTTCTCGGAGCCACGTTTCAAAGCCGCGACGTCGAAGAGGGACGTGGCGAGACGTGATAATTAAAGAAAATAGGAAAAATATTAATCTTCGAGGTTTCGAACAGAACTGCGTGTATCGAGATAGAGCGATTCCGTTCACGATCTTTCACGAGGAATTCCATCGAGCCAGTTTTATTCCCGGTACGGTTGGACGTTTGATGAAACGGGAGTGCGGCCAGGTCGATCCACGGAAATTTCCGTTGCACGGAAACACCTGCGGCGAATTCGGGAGACCGTCGAACAGAACTAATGTTGCCGGGCAATTTGTAACGAGGCTGGGCGCGTGCAGCCAATTCAGAACGTGAGACAGCGGATCCCCGCGTCAGAGCGCAGATAAATTACTTTGTTTTGGCGGCGAAGAACCACAGCCTGGGGCTCGCAGACATCAATATCAACGACTGATGAGTTATCCCTCGCAGCTCTCCTATCTGCAATGTCGGCTCCGATTCTGGCCCATCGTCCCCCTTCAAAATTACCGAAATCCATCGAGCTGCTCTGGCAAAAGGATCGAGACAAATAGAGATCGGTAAATTCAGGTACAATCGACGTACCGACAAAAGAGAAGGGAGGAATTAAATGTTTGCTGTATCGGTGTATCTCGAGTTTCGTTAATTTCACACAAAGAGAAGGGAAGATTTGCTTGGGGGAGAGGAAAAGTTTGAAAGTAAGTATACACGATGTAGCGGAAAGTTTGTAACGCATCGTATGCAAAAGAACCACACCGGCAACTTTCTACGATGCAATTCTCATTTCCTTTGTCTGTAAATCAGACCTCTAACCCGGAGAGGTTTCAAATTTTATTGTTCTAGCCCACGGCTGAAGACGCGGACGGTTATCCTCCGTGGCACCACCGCGTGTACACACTTTCCGTCGTTTTGTTTGCCCCTACGAAGATTCTTGAACGCCGCGCGGAAAGTTCGAATTGCGGTGAAACTCATTTCACGTTGTCCAGAAGCTCGAGGGCCGCCTGAAACTTGCCTGTTCAACGGCTAATCTCTCTTTCATCGATGTAAACTGCTTTCTGCAACCTTGTGACTTGATCCAATTACGTCTTGCCTATATTGCGCTCAAGAAAAGAGAAAAATTAATTAAAAAAAGGACATTGACATCGGGTCATTTTACATCAGGTCAGCTTTTAATTTGATAAGAAAAACGAATTTGTTTTCTTAGTAAGGCCATTACGTCGTCGCTGTAGAATTTCCTTAGATTTCTATGGGGTGACCTAATATTAATTCGGTGTTTCTAGCGCCGTCGATTAATTTTTTTCACTGATAACACAAGTTTTTTGGACACATCCTGGCTCGATATCCTGCAATTGTCACCGTACATTATTACCCCGCTGGATTCTTGATAGCGGTATTTTTCTTCGGCCGGTTGGTGACGCCAGGACGATTCTCTTGACCCAGCATCGCCGCCGCAGAACGTTTAGTACGTGTCTCGTTAATAACACCCTCCGGAGCGCATCTCGATCTTCCCGCGGATACCGTTCTCCTCCGGAAGCATTACGCTCTCCCCGGGCGAATGGAAGAATTACAAAAACTCTTTGGAACTACATTTCTCTCGCGGTTTGAAACGATTCGTCTCCCTTTTCAGATGCTCCGACCGCGGGAGTTTAGCGAATTGTTTCCGGAGAGGCGAGATTTTTCACACGTCCGATCCTCGGTGTTCATAAAATCCTTAATGCCGAATAGTTCGATGGATGGTAAGGGAATTCGACGTTGACTGTTCGAGATGGGAACTATGCTCGTATGATGGAGAATCTTCTGGATGTTTTCGCCGGTTGATAAGATTCATGGGAAACGAGAAGTTTCGCGAAGGAAGCGCGGGTTTATTGAATTCTATGGGTAACAGTGGAAACAGCGAAACGTGAAAAATATTTAATATCGAATAGCAGGTCTTTCTACGTTCACCCTTGAGTGTGACAGGAACTCGTTCCAGTAGATAGATCGTGTTGTGTTTTTGCGCGAAGGTTTTTTCGCTGCGGGAGGTAGGAAAGTTTCTAACAAATACGACGTGATGAAATAAATAATTTCTACGACGCTGACAATGCTGAAACCGACGAATAATCCATACGTGCCTCCGATAAAACCTGTAAAACAATTATACTTTTATGATTTACGAAATTTTTGTCTTATCAATTCGAACGAAACACGATTTTAAAGTTGAAGATAATTAAAGGTGAAACATGGAATATACAGAGTGTTTCATTTATAACGAACGTCTAAATTATTTCCGCTGTTCATGTGGACGTTCGTTATAAGTGAGACACTGTATATTTCTCGACGTTTATCGTGTTCCTGGCTGCCTCATCGAGCATAATAGCTCGGGGCACGTTCGGTCGTTTAAACAAAACAAACGTCCCGCGCCTAGCACTCAGTATTCATAAGACCGTCGAAACGTTAACACGGTGTTAAATTGTTCTCGTGAAAATTCGTTCAATTATTATGCACTTCCTCGTTGCGTAGATTAATTATGATTTAAACGAAACGTGTATTTCAAGTTTTATACAAATTTTCATTATCCTTGACTATCGTAGTGCTTTGTCACCGTCAGCCATTACTGTGACGTAATAAAAACGCGGTAAAACGTGGCGAGTGACTGGTGATGGTCAATCTCCTCGATTCTGTTTTATTTCGTGTGTTTTTGCGAGTTTCGACGTTGAGAAAGTGTGTCTTTCGATCTGTGTAAGTTAGTTGAACGTAGGTTGTGTTGTGTTTACATTCTTTGTATTTTCGTTCGTCGCAAATGAGAGTGTGTGAAATACGAGATCGTGTGGCTGAGGTGATGTAAAGAAACAGTAAGTGAATACACATTTCGTAACGTTATTGTTAGGAATAGTAATACAAATTGCGAAGGAAAAGTATTTTGTAACAATAATTCTCGAATGTATACGACATAACCTACAAAGGTTATTGTAAACACTACACTCCTACGTCTCGATCGAAATGCTTCGAAATTAGAACGCATTAAAGCGTCACACTAACGGTTAGTTGAATAATAACGAAAGCATACTCACTTAAATACTCGTACCATCGATAATGCACGTCTTTCCTCAAAAACCCTGTTTCGGGATCTGAGAAGTATATATGAAGTATGCTCTGATCCTTCACATTCGTATTCGGGCTAAAAATGATGTAAAAATAATCTCACGGAAATATTTGCCATTGAAATGATAGGTTAACATTTTCTTACTATAAGGTTACGTTGAAGTAGCTAGACTTTATATCAGTTTCTGAAATCTGAATTAAGTAGCTCATATCGATGCATTCGGGATAACAATTGTTGCAACGGATAACGTTCTCATTCTCAAAATCGCTGTCCAAATTTATGCGCGCATAGGGTACAATATTGTACTGTTTTTCTATTAATTAAATTAAAGAAGAAAAAGAATTCCACACGTTTCAATTATCAACTAAACAGTCGTTGTTTCTCACCGTAATATTTCGTCAAACAATGTATATCTTCTATGGTACAAGTCCTCCTGGATTCTACAAAAAAAAAAAAAAAACAATCGATAAAGGGAAACTTTCGTTCGAACGAAAGAAAACTTCTCAGACTCTTGAGATACTCCACGAGGATACAATATAAACCAAGCTGAACTTTCTTGTCGAATATTAGAAATAAGTTCATGCTATAGAGGAAGTTTCCATCGAACGGCGCGATCCCCTTTAACGCTTTAAAGCAATTCACGACGAGAGCTCGTTAGGAAGCTAGCAACTACATACTCTCCAATGGAAGATTGCTTTCTTCCAAAAACACGAGCCTCCGTCGTTTCGACGTCAATTCTAAAAGCGAAAACGCCACTAGAATCCCTCTGATCCTCTGTGTCACCTTGACTCCCACACCTTTTGTAAAACCATCCCCTAAAACCACTTTGTTTCTCCTTGCGAACCCGTGCAATTAAATTCGTGCTCATAAATCCGAAACGACCCATATCTTCGTCCCAGACGAGAAAGTTTCGTACTGAAATTATGCTCTTTTTACGCTTGTTACCACTCATAAATATTTACTTAACTGTACTTTTTAATTTGCACGTAAAAATGTGACAAATCCTTTTTCTTAATCATAACAAAGACCACAAAAGAATTTAAGAGCTGTGGCGGTAAGTCCTACGCTCCACCGCCAGAGGGACAGGCTAACATTGTCCTTTCTCGCTAGCTCTCGACAAGGCTCCTATTACTATAAATACAATTTCTAACATGTACAGATCTCATAACCTGAAAAAACCTACATCTTTCTTTCACTATTCTTTCTACGCATCACGAAAATATTCGCCTCACTTTCTAAAAAAAGGATTTATAAGCGGTAACGCAAATCCTCTAGCGATAAATAGGAGCACTGGTCTGAGAAGTTTAACAACTTCCATTCGAGTAAATCGAACAATAAAACACGGTCTTTTCACAAACTTTCCGTGAAACCCTGACGCGGGTAGAAGAACGGCCTGCACTTGCATTTCGCCCATATGTGCTCCACTCTGCACGCGACTATGCATGCGTTGGTACTGTAGCTGGTGTAATTCGACTCGTACTCGTCCGGAAAAATGCAACCCCGTTTCTCTACCGAGTGCATGCGAATGGTGTCGGTGCCGTGGCTCCCTACCACCTGCAGTTGCACGAATTCTTCAGTTAACGGAGGGACCAACACCTCCGAAACACTGCCGCTGCTCAAGTCCGGGTAACCGTAAGGGTCGAATATCATCACCTGATGAATATGCACGGACACCGTTGTAATTTGTTCAAGTAGCGGGAAGAATCAGACGATTGAATAGTTAGATAAGGATTCTCTAACACGTAGCCTTTGCTTGAGGGATGTTCGATGCAATCGTTAAATTAACCGAGATATCAGCGAAGGTTTTCTCAGAAAAGGGTCAACTAGAGAACCTAAGATTGTTTCACAATAATACTAAAATTTCGAACAAGTTATCTAGAGAGAAATATTGAAGTCTAACGGTAGATTAAAACGGAAGCACTTTTCAAACACTAGCAAAGATTTTTTGTGCGCATCTGCAAGCCGGAAATGTGGTTCGTTTTGTCTTGGAGAAAAGCAGAGCGTGATCCTTTGACGAGAAACGCGATTACGGATAACTAGCACGCGCTCGTTCAAACTTCTCCCAACAGATTCTTCGTTTGAATGGTGGAACACGTGAAAGAATTCGCCTTTCCCTCGGTTCTCTTCTCCGAATAATTCCAGCCTTTTCATCGTGTGTACCATTTAAAGAGTACGCATTGTTATTGCTTCGTAATTGGTAATTATTCGATTTTCCCCGCGAAAACGAAACTTTCGATCGCCGATGAATTGTGCAGTTATCGTTTGCAATACCGATCCGCCGTCCAGAGGCTTCGTTAAACGGTGTATAACGCGGACACTGCGCGTTTTACGCGACGAATAGTCGCAACTCTACGCCGAGCTTTTTCCAAGCGCGAAACGAAATGTTGCGTCGCGCTGCTAATGACTTTCGCGGGCTTTTTTATAGGCAGACATCTGTGCCGCAGAGTGGGATAATCGTCGCCGAGTGTGCAGCTCGTAGAGGCGGACACGATTAGGCGTATAAAAGGCTACAAAAATATCGCGAAGTTTAACAACGTTTAATCGATAATAAAAATGATCACCTTCCATCCGGTGGTAGGAAGTAAGGTGTAGGCGTAATCGTCCAACTGCGGTACCATCATCACAGACAAACCGTAATAAAAACTTGCGGTTCCTACCAGGTAAATTACAGGCTCAGGTACCTCGGTGAACCTTTGAAAAATAATCTTTTCAACGTTGCGAAAAAGAGAGAGAAATTTTTACAGACTCACTTAGGCATATCGTCTGGCTCGATGACATAATTGAACGTGCAACAGAAACCGTTGTGCGTTTTACCAAGGGAGAATATGTCCGTGCACTTTCTTTTCTTGTTGAGAAAGGAACATTCCAGAAGAATGTCCGAGCATCGCGGTGTCAGCTGAAATTTACTTAAAATTATTAACTTACACTTTCTAACTTTCTTAATTAAGCACCTGTGCACTTACAGATTCCATTAGATCGGTGATGTCGTAGCTATTGTTGTAAAACTTCGACAACAGTTCCCTAAGATTGTCGTAACTGCTCTCTCGCATGAAGGATGTATCGTACAAGTCACCTAGGTTGGTTAGCTCATTGACGATTTCCTTCGCGCTCATATTTGTGATATTCGCTTCGAATCTACTTCCAAACCAAGAAAAATTTCTTCACAAAAGTCACATTTTTCTGTTCTCTTTTACGCGAATGTACATACAGTGGATTCCGGTTAATTGGGACACATTGGGACCGGACTAATTTGTCCCAAAGAAGCGAATTTCAACAGGCAAAATCTGAACAACGTAAAAAATGAAGCTAAAAACGATTCATTGAAAAACGTAAAGCTAACGATAAGTAATAAAATAACATTAATAAGTAATGAAAAATAAGTAAATAGACACATATATTATGTAATGTATTTATATTCCGTTCTTCAGTATCTGTCCCAAATAAACGGTGGTCCCAATTAACCGGAATCCACTATATTTCGATGTGCATTTAAACATGCATAACAATGTGCCCTTAAAAAATCCAAACAGCAAAACCACGTGAACGCGAACCGGACGATAATCCCCGCGAATAACTCATTCTCGAGCAAACTACTCGGAATAGTATCCCCTAACTTCCTCTAATATCTCTCTCCGCTTCCTCTGCCGCCCTTAAAACTTGAACAAACCGCCCTCGACCAATTATCAATGGTTCCGCTCGCGTATTAATGCCTGATTAAATTGGCGGAAAGCTAATCGCGCGGGTTAGCCGTTCGTTAAATCGGCGCGCGCGAATCGATAACTACGTTAGCCGGGCGTAGAGGTGCGCGCTTCGATTCTCGTAAACGTGGCCCGACAATGAACACGCTCACGGTGATTATCAAGAGTGATTAGGTGACGGCAGTGGGTGCCGGTTGGTTCTTCAACGAGGTCACGCTTTTCCAGTGCAATTATTGAAATTATCCGTGCGGTGCAATTTTCTGCAGTGCGGCGAAACCACGTGTCGCGGTAACCATCCCTTCCTCCTCCCTCCTCTCCCCTCCTCCTCGTCCTTTCTGTGTGTCTCTTTCTCTTCGCGTCCGACAACCCCCGGTTCCCGAAAGCTGGATACCGCTCTCTCCCCCCCCCCTTTCTCCGAGTAGTTGTTAAAAGCTGCGCGGTTCTCTCTCTCACGGTGACACAGTGTCGTTTCGTGTTTGCTTAATACTCGGCAGCTGCTCACATTTCAGTCGCGAGCTTCGTGGCGGATCGAAGACTTATTCTGTTAACGGTGCAGACTGCAACTCCTGGAACACAGAGAGGAATGAACGAGCCAGTGAACCAGGGCACGCGCCTTTCCAAGTGGTCCGAACCGTTCGCTAAAATTTTCACGCGACTACTAGCATCGCCACTCGCTTTCGAACCGCTTAATTAAAATGAGATCGTCGAGGTTGAAAGCGACCGGTTTAATGGTGCGAGCGGACTCGTTTAGAGAAAAAGACGGCGGGGATTTGTTTTTTTTTTTCTCAATCATGTGGCACCTCGTTTAGTTTATCGAGTTTCTGGCTACAGTTTTTGGTAGCTCACTTTTCAACCTTATCTTCTTTCGCTCCTTTCTTTCTCTCTCTCTCTCTCTCTCTCGGCTTCGTATTTTCGGGGTATTCGAGCTTACCGGGGAACTGTAATTCGCTGGTGGGAAAGTATTCTGGCTCCATCATGGATACTATCGGCGTTGTGTGGAAGATTCGGTAGGTCGCGAAGGTTTCCCTGTACATTTGGATTGCAGCGATCGAGAACAGGAGGAACCATACGAATCTGAAAACGGTCGAAATCGATCGCTTAGTATCTCCCTGGAATTTTCCAGATTTTAGTGACAATGGTAATTTTTGTTTTTTAATCAGCTTTCCGATAGCAGCGTGTAATGTCTCGTAAAAGAGGGTTGAGCTCGTAGAGTTGACCAGCGAGTGAAAAGAGGAAAGAGGAAAGAAAATTCTCGGGTTCCTTTTTTTTAATGAACGTAATACGCGTTCGGGTGCCATTAAGAGCGGCCGATTGCAACGCGAACTCCTATAAAAAATAACACTCAAACGACCTCGTAAAACGGACGGTTCGCTGCTTTTTCTCAACGGGAAATGAGGAACCCGTTTATTACCGAATTCGCTTTATAAGCGTCGCACGATGCGTCGCTTTATGTTTAATCATGGCGGCCTAGTCGAACGTCCCTGCCGTTGCTACTGCTTCTGCTGAAATTTTATCACCGTTTCCCCTTCACATGAACTTTTTCTACGCTTCTCGTAGACATGATTTGCAAGTGGCCTTAATTTTAATCCTTCATAAATTCTATCTTTTATCGACTCCGCCTCACCCCCAGTCAACTCTTAAAACAACACGGAAGAGACCGAACTATAAAGTCTCGAACCGTTCCCAAGATTCGACGGGATTTATGGTTGTTTGCTTTGTAGCTTTCCGCGGAGTAACACTTTCTGCTGGGATTTTTTCTTCCACCGGAAGTTTAATCGGGTCGAGGAAAAGCAACATTCGCGGAAGCTGTAAATTCGTTCGAAAAGTTAAGCAACCTTGGTTACATATTACGTATCTCTAATCGCAAATCTGACGACGTCTCGAGAGAGAATAGAGGGATTTTCGGCCACCGGGAAAATTTCGCGTACGTTCGAAGAAATTTATAAAGTGCGTTGACAATTTTTCTCGCGTCGTTGCGTTCTCGTGCTGTACACGACACAAGATACAGCTCCCGAAGCAACGAAGCGATCAGGTTCCCGGAAAATTGTGTACACCGCGTCGAAGAATAAACTGAATACGGAATGAGGGTAATATCGCGTGTTTAATGCAAAGCACCACGGCGAACGATAAAATTATTCGAGCAGATGATCGCTAGGTTGCGTCCAACTGCAGTCCGATTTTTCCCGTAATTTCGTAACGCGATTACGAGTTTCAATTACTTCTCGAGCCAGGTTACGTCCTCCCTTACGAAGTACTTAAGGCCCACCAGGCTGGAATGCTCGCAGTACATCCGCCAGTGTTTCCTTAATACTTTCATGTTTCTCGATCGCAGGATGCGCTTGCGTGGAATCGTCTGTGTCCATGCGGATGAAACGGCAGGTTTTCTGCTGTATTCCTTGATCATGGTCCCCTTTCACTGGTCTTCGCAGGATCTGTGGTATTAAATGGTTTTCATGCGATAGTTTGTAATTCTTTGCGGCGATGATAAGTGAATGTAATAATTTCACGCAAGTTGACGTGTCGAGGAAATTTCTTGGGCAACTTTGATAAGTATAAGGCGACTCTTAGAGCTCTTGTACGATTCGTAAAACAGGCTCTGTAACAGTCTAGGTCTAACAGTTCATCTTTAACATTCCGACGACTCTTGGAACACTCGGACTCTACCTAGAACACTCCGACGACTCTAATTACAACGCTATGACGACTTTTGGAACGCTCCGACTGTATCTGCAAGGAGAAAGACTCTTGGAACACTCCGACTGTATCTGCAAGGAAAGAGACTCTTCCTTCGCCTTCTCTTTCTCTCGCGCACTCTATTTTCCAATTTTTCCCATTAAAAATGATCAACGTATCGCTGAATTTTCGAAGGATCCGCGAAGGACCTTGCCTGTGTCCCTGCAAATCGCCACTTTCCCTTTTCCAATCTTCGTCCTGTATCTCTCAAAACTTCATGCCAACTCTCATAGTCGCGTAGAAAGTAACAATTTGAACTTAGTCAGCTGATAACTGCGCGAAAGGATGAATCGAGGTGAAACGGGAACAGCGACAAGCGGCGAGAATCCACGGTGAATAAAAAATGGGTATTTGTATAGGTAGACAGAGAACGCGGGGAAACGGTATAAAAATGAAGGGAATAAAATTGGTATGAGTTTGATGGAATAACGCTCAATCAGTGTATACACGGGAATATCGACGAAGTAAATTCTTAATCAAGTCTTTCGTACGGCTGAATGAACGAGCCGATTGTTTCGCGCTCGAAAACGTTATGCGCGAGGAAGAAAAATTGGGGAAATATACGTACAGTTTTTGCGCGACAATTTGTACGAATCGACGAGATAGTTTAAATCTCGGGAAAGTTTAAATTTCAGACGCAATTATAGTCGCTCGACGAGGATTTATATATCGCTACGGTAACGGTGCGACGATTCTCCAGCGGGATTTCGACGACTACTGGACGGCCACCGTGTCGTTTCTCGTTGAGAATCGTAAAATGTTGGCGGCCCCCCGTTTCGCTTGTTGCATGTGTCGGCCGCGTGACGGACCGATTTCACTTCGGAAAGATCGCGTATCTTGAGCCAGTTAATTACCGATACGGGTCGCTTATCTTACGCACGGTCTGCTGCCTGTTATTGCTGGAGAGCTTGCGTATCGAGCTTTCCAGCAATTTATTGCCCCCTAGCTGTGTGTATCTTCCTGTTTATACAGGAAGTATATTAGGTGTACAAACAGCCGGGTTTTCGTTGTTTACTATAAAAACAGCCAATTGACTTAAAAGGTGTTTTTATATTGAAAATATAACTTCATAAAAAGTAGTTTCAATTTTTCCCGTCGATACGAGAATGGTGGATTATTTATCTGCACTCGAAGTACGTTTTCCATCGAGGTATACGAAATAATCAGAACGCAATAGAAACATTTATTTTTACATCATTTTCTGGGTTACACGTTTCGTTCGCCATTTGTTAAATAACCCTTTGGTAACTTTGGATTCTGTGTTTGCATTCATACTTTACGACTACCTCATATTTCTCCCGCAAAAAATAACATATCCATAAATTCGAACGTACTTTACATTCGTACGTTAAAACTATCATGCATTTCGCCTACAAAAATACAACGTGCCCATAAATTTGGACGTACATATTTGAAAAAAAAAGAAATGTACTTCGATAGCAGCCTGGTTATGAATCGCACAATGGTATCGTATGTATCATACGAGTAACCCTTATCTCGATATCTCAAACAGCCGTCACATTTCCATAAAACGGACATTACAACGAAAGGCTATCGCATATTTCCTAAAAACAAGTGCAAAAAAAAAAGAAAGAAATGAAAGCCATCGCTCAACAAGTAAAACCCAGACAGACGTCTCGAATCGTCCCTTTAACCATCCGCCCTTGAACTTGCCCTGTAGCCAGTTATTAAGGCCGTAAAACTTCGGGACTTCATGAGGTGTCAGCTTCGTGACCGGAATGATCCAACGAGGTGCAGACACGGTTCAGTCGCTAATCCAGCCTCGACTATCTCCTCTGGTGTTGCGGTACGTGTGCCGTTATGAAAATGCGTGGTTCGCCGGTCGACGTTCGTGAATATATTACAAGGCGGGGTGCACGTGCATATCGTCGGTTGCAGCCTTGCAACCCTGACAGGAGTAGAGAGAGAAAGAGGGAAACGCGAGCGAGTGCACGTGAATTG